GGGGACACTAGAAGAGTGCTCCTAACGGGGGGAGAATGATTGATGGACGGTGGGAGGAGGGGAGGTTTCTTTGGGGTGAGTGATGTTGGATGATTTCGTTTGCCCCCACCGTTTATTTCCTCCATAGTATTTGTGTCTGGGTAGCACTTTTTATAATGCTGGGATGGGATGGGGTGGATAAGGATAGCATACTATAGAATCTCAAATAACTTAACCGTGCGCCGCTATGTCGTTCGAGTTGCCCCCTCTGGTAGGGTCTAGTATTTTCTACTTTTTAGAAGGGCCAAACAACTCACCTTTTGTGTTTTTTCTTCTTTCATCCCTTGCCCGGATAAGAAATTCTGGGCTATGATACCTAGCACATGATTCAGTTATTTGGGATGCTATGGTAGCCAGATATCGACAATTCAATCTCGCCACATTATTGAACAGTCGTAAGGAGAAAGAAAGTAACCAAATAAAAATAAAAAATTGGTAGGCAGTCGATTAACAACACTCCCTCTCCATGATACTAGACAAAAACCGACACCAAAGACCCATAAGACATGCATCTCCATAACTCTACTCAACACTTGTCTCAATCCTGGTGTATCCAATTGTCATGACAACCCCCAGACACTCCTCTCGCACGCATGCACTAAACCGGACCAAAGGGAATTAATCCGTATATCATACAAGAAAATAAAAATAAGAATAATATAAAAGAATAAAAATAAAAATAAAATAAAATAATCCGCTGACGCTAACCAGCTACCGTCCATTCTCATAAGGCACATTCCCTCATACAGGGTATTAAAGCGAAAAAAGTACCCCCTAGTTTTTTCTAGAAAGAAATGTGGGCATCCATAACTTGTTAACGTTCAGGCGCAAATGGAGAAGGGGTGCCGGAGGTGTTCATGCTGAAGGGAGCCTATCAAGTATCCAGTTAGTTAGTCGACCTTATGGAATGATATTTGGAGTATGAGGGAAATAAATAAATAAATTACTTACCAATACTCTCTTTGCATTGCATATCCTCCAGGCAAGGCGTCTGACATTTCCATCGGCTTGGACAACCTCTGGTGCGAAATCAACCCCAAACATTTCCTTGACAGCGTACACAATCCTCTTAGCATACTTTCCATCACCTAGGCCACCAAACTCATCCGCGACATCGCCGGGTGCTATATCCTGGTCCTTATCGAAACACCTAACAATAACCGGGAACAAGTAATTCTCAACGCTTTCTTGCATCTCCTGCATATCAATGAAATGCTCTTCTTCAGTCTTGTCAGCTGCAAGTGGTGCTTTATTGATGATGACCTCGAAGGGCAATGAGATTGCCATAACCTTGTGCTTTCCGTCGTGGTGGTATCTGAACTCATAGACTCCATTGCTCCAGAAGGTCTTGTCTCCGCCAAACTCCAGCTCACCCGTAAGGATTTCCTCGTTAGGGTTCTCAGGAAAAAGGGTCTTAATATCAGAGCTTATGATTCCTTTCTCCGCAATGTCGGTATCGTACTCGTCCTTGCAGAGGGCGGTCCAGCGGCCCATAGAGGCGATCCTCGTAACCTCTCGAGAGGCGTTATCGGCAATTCTATAGAGCCCGATCCAATCTAACCTTGAATGGTTAACAGGGGCAGTCCAGACAATTCTGATAGGTTGTCCAAATTCTACAGATAGGCCTGTTGCAATGCCATCCTTGGTCTCTCTAACAGCATTCAAAATGGCGATCGAGTATTTCTTTGCGTCGTATTTGGCGTGACCGTCCGCGAGGAACGTGAGCGACAGATCAGCAGGGTAGTGCGAAATAAGCAGTTGCGTGTCCTTAACCACACCCATGACACCCTGCGTAAGCTTAGGCTTTGCAGTTTCTAAAAACTCCTCAATGAATTCACCAACATCTGCAAGGGCCTTATCAATTGACCCCTGGAACGATTTCACGCCATCAGCGACTGGTGGAGGCATGGCTTTCTTGATTGTCTTGACCACACCGGCTTCCTTGCGGATTTGACTGCCATAAAGTTTCTCCATATGCGGCCGCTCCACAAATTGGATAAAAAGCAACAAGCAAACGTGAGAGAATAGACCCAACATGAATATTTCCTGCGAAGAAGTGATCAAAACTATTCCCCAAATTCCTGCGCTGCCAATCAAGCGCTCCGGGTTATTAAGGTACCTGTAAATTCCAGAATAGGTAAGATGTGGTGTTGGCTGCTCAAAAAAGAAATCGCCAAAAAACCATCCAAACTCCCCGAGTGATTCGTGTATCGAAGCGGCGGTCCACATCTGAAGCGCGAGGAGTAAGATTCCCAGCGTATGCCTAAATAGAACCATCCCTTCTTGCCCGGTTGGAAGATTGTAGAATTTCCACCCGGCAATGAAAAAGGAGGTGTGGCACATAACCAAGGACACATGGTAGAGTCCTTTCCATTGATCCCAGGCCTCCTCCCTTGTTTGGCCGAATTTCAAAAAATGTCTGAACCAAGCCTTGTTATGGCTCTGCCCAACAAGAATCGAACCGATACCGACGGTATGCCAAACTCTCCACCCAAAAGCATGAAGCAAAAATATCACCTTGATCATCGGTGTGTTCGGTGTCACCATCGCACCCACCGCCAAGTAGAAAACAAGGAGAGCCGTGCACAGATGTGTATTATAAAACATGTCGAGTTTCCCGAGAAGCTTGCGTTCCTTGACGGCATGAGTGTAATCATCCGCCAAAATTGCAGTGTAAGACTCCTTCCCATCAGAAGAGAGAGGCCTGGTAGGAGGTGGTGTTGATCTACGACGAGGCGCCGGAGCATTGTATGTTTTATCAATATGTGGGTTCTCGACAACCGATAAAAATACGAATTGTGCGGCATGGGCAGCCAGTGATATAAACAAGACCGGATATGATGCTGCTATCAGAGATATCCCCTATACCCATAGTCAGCTGGTGTGCCTCAACAAAATTCATATAAAAAATTTGACGTACATAATAACCGGCGTACCCAACAGAATACATAGGATGAGGTGCCATTTCGAAAACACCATCGAATGCCAAATTCTGGTCAACCAAGAAAAAGAAGTCTCCCCAGTCTAATTTTCAACCGTACCAAAAGCTGTTAGCACTGCCAATCCCAATTGGGAGATACAATGTTTAATGGACCAGAGGTCTTAAGCTGCTGAAGATTGTCTTCTAATACGGCAATGAAAACTTACACCAAGCGTAGTCTTTCACAACTCTATGAGCATCAAGCTTAACCCATAAATTGAACATGAACAAGACAATCCCGCCAATCCACCGCCCGGCAGTTAACCCCCATCCCTCTCCGGCAGGTACATGTGCACAAGATATGGCGAATAGCACATAGCTCACAAAATCACACATAAGGACAAGATCGACTACCCTCCTGAACACCAACCAGGTATTGTATTCTATGGGGGCCTTCTCGAAAACATAATCCCCGCTCCTGACCTCGTCAGATATCTTTGCCTCGATCTCGTGTTTAACAAGTGCACAGATGCGAGGGTTCTGCTTCGCATCGAAGATACCAGATTTCCGCGCCCACCAGACTAGACGCTTGTGATTCGATTGATTTCGAAGCAGATAACCAATACCGAAATTATACGAAGTTCGCCAAAGGGCAAAGAGACAACCCAAAATGGGCGACTGTAGTGACGGCGGAAGGAGAAACAAAAGGGCGATATGGATGGCGAGAATAACGAGGATGACAATGTCTGACAAATTTTTGGGCTGTCTAGGTGAAAGTAGAGTAGAGACCATGTCATGAGTCTGGGGAACAACGAAAGCTGTAGCGATTGACTCGAAATTAGTTGAAAAGCTTATTCCGAGCAAAGGGGGAACGGGCACCGACTTGTTCCGTCGGGAGTCCGGCCAAAAGTTTTCCCCGGTTTTAAAGCGTCCTCGTTGTCAACGCTCTCGATTACCTCCACCTCTTTTATTGCGGTCGAAGTTTCCATTTTCCCATCTCCCTTTGAACGATCCCTTAGGCCAGTGCCATTGGACCCTTCCAAGGCACTCGAAGCCATGTACGCAATGATTTGTTTTCTCGCACGTGCTTCACCAGCCAAGAGTGTAGATAAAAATTTGAGCAACTAAGGGTCCTGTTGAAGGACCTGCTAGGTATAGGAACTAAAATAGGTAGAAGTTGATGAATATAGATTAGACGGGGGAGGGGGGTGATGAAGTGAGAAGAAGGTTTATTAAGATAAGGGCTTCTTAAACCTGTCAGGACACAGTGGAGGTTCACGGGGAGGGTGTAGGTATGATACCGGTATCGTTGGCCCGAGCGGCGACACGAAGCGAAACACGCTGTTGGGCTTGCAGCACGAGCAGAAGGGCGAAGCCAACAGATCAGGCCGTACAGTATGATACCACAGCCAACGAGAACGATGAAAAAAAGTCAACCCCCGAACAGTGATCCCTTCCGGGCTAGGACAGCGAAGTCAAAGGCTTACCGTAGGAATGGAGATCGGGACAGTTGTGATGTGTTCTCTTCAGAGGTTGCTTTTATGGCTAACCGCCTAACACATACTAGGATACAAGTGATCCTACAAGACCCCCAACCACACGACAGGTCACCGGCTCCCTTTCAAGGCCCCGCACAAGAACTCTCGCCGTATTATATGCTACCAGTGTATTGTATAATAATAATATTATTATTGTATTTCATATATTGTTACTCACCAGACTCTGCCAAGTCCTTGTGCTTGAGACCCTGTGTTTGCGAGAAACCTAAACCCTGGTTTGAATTTTAAAAAAGAGGCCTCTTCTGAGGAGGCCCCCAGCACCCAGAGTACCGGTACAGTACATTGGTTGGAGGCAAAGTTCCACGATACCGGGATGATACCATGAACAAGCCTGGCCAGTCGCCTGGTTCTTCTCTCTTTCGAAGCTTTAGTCTAAACAACATTCAGGTGGAGCAGAACTGATGGATTATTTGCGGAGCCCAAGATCCAGCGCTGTTGTTGATAGGGCCAACAGTTTCCGCAACTGCCCTGTTCGCATCGCTTGCACGTGAAACGTGAAAGGCTTGCCCCTTTCTGAACCACGGTACGACCACATACACTTCAGGTACGGTACGGCGCCGGCAGTCGATCGAGTCAATATGGGAAAGGTGGTAAAAACGCTTCCCAACAGTCCCATTATCAACATCATCTCCCGGACCGGGCAGAGAATGAAAATTTCGTGCTGTCCCTGTCAGTTCCCGAGGCCCAATGACTAAGGAGTGTTCGACCCGCCATCATACCGGAGTGATGCCCCAGCCAGTATTCTTCAATGATTATCGGTGTAGGTGTGGTCACACAGCCAATATTAACTTAGTTACTCGTACAGTCCAAAGTCTGCGCAATGCCGGGTCGACAGTGCCCCTTCAGCCAGCTAGTGAATTTAGATTAATTGAATACACATCGGCGAAATTTTGGTCATTAGTGGGAATCTGCTTATCATCCTTTGTCTTGTCAGTCCAGGAGATAAAGTGCTATGGTTCTGGACGTCTTAACTGTGCACTAAGTAATTTGGAATGGGGGATGGCTTGGTAGCACAAAAAATGAACCTATGTTCAATTCCTAGTAAGGTCTTAGTATTGTCTTAATTGTCAAGTCACATGAGATATTAGGTAGGGTAATATTTGTTAAAATGATGACATATCATAGATATGATATCATAGAAAGAAAGTGTATGTAAATCTAGGGTGAAATAATGGTTTTTATGTCAATACTACTTGCCACTCTATCTATTTTCAAAGCTTTCTCAATTTTCACAATAAGATCTAATTATTTCTGAAGTTATTATCTTCAGATACAATAATGTCAACCCCATGGAGGCGTAGCAGGCCACGAACAGATATGCCATCTGCATCAACTCTTTGGATATAAGCATTTCGTGAGTGACAGTGAGAGGTATCGTGCACTATATATGTTTACTCTTATTTCTGAATCTTGTAAAATGTTAAACTAATACTACTAAAGCTAGAGTTTCAAGTAGTGTCAGTTGCACTTACACTAAACCTAGCCAATACACCTATACCGAATCTAGCTAATACACGTATGCCTGATCCAACTAATACTCCTACATCTGACCTACCTAAGCCATATATGCTGGACTTAGCTGATACATCTATGCCAGATGTCGTCGATCTATCTATGCAGGTGGCACAAGAGGATATGCCTATTCCTCTTAATCACAGCACAAAGAACTCTGAGGAATAGTGAGCTTGTGTTAAAGCAAGAAAGAGCTAAGAAGCTCAACATATCAAATACTCTGACAGCCAGCATCTTTCTCATACAATATTTGACAGTCTACTTGAACCTACAACTAGGGTTTGTGGTTGTAAGTTTACTGGTTTGTATCTTATAGTATTTTATTGTAAAATATAGTATTATATTCCATGATACAGTATTTTATAATAAAATTTGAGAAAGAACCAATCAAATTCTCAGCAGTACCAGCATGATCATCGGCCCATATCCAATTTGTTCCCTTTTGGCCTGATCCTCTCATCCCATCCTCTTCTCTTTTCCTTTCCACTTCTCCCATACACTTTTCCTTCTTCCCTCTCCCCATGCCCATACTCTTTTCTGTCCCCTTTCTCCTCTATTTCAAGTTCCCTTACATGCTCTGGCCCAGCTCACTTTTCCTCAGACCTCTACTACCCTTTTAGATCTAGCTCTCCTTCCTTGGCCCTTTCTTCTTGGAACAGTAAGTTGCTCTCCTCCTCCCACCCTATTTCTACCCCTATTTTTCTTCCATTTCCTAAGCCTACTCTGTCACTACTGACTGGGATGAGTTCCACCATACTAGTTTCCATCCCTGCTCCTGGCTGACAGAATACCACTTCCTTCCAGCCAAACTCATAATGTCCATGTCATTGTCGCTTATGTGATTATTTCAGCGAAGAAGTTATTGGATCTCGAGGAATGGAATAAGGATCATTACTAGCTGTTATAAGGTTAGTATATAATCTTTTAATTGTAACTAGGAAGTAATATACAGGTAGGAAAACAGAATAAACATACAGGTATCTGGTAAAGTAAGATCAACCAGCAGGCCTACCAGTGCTGGACTTGTAGGCCTTGAACCTTGACAATCATGTATCTCAGAGTCTAGTTGTTTATACACTCATTATTAGCTAAGAATTGTATGGTGAAAATATAGGAGTAGTATCTTGTATAAGATCAACTTCTATGGAGTCTGTCTGTTAATAAAAATAAAAATCCAGAACTTGATCTTCAAGCTCTAGTTCATTCTCCCATATTTGCTCCTACTATCGATACTTTTCTGTTGGCTTTCTGTCTAGGACACACTGGTTGAGGTAAAGAAATGTAAGTTTATTGACCTATGCAGGTTGAAACCAATTGCAGAACTTGCTGTAAATTGAATTTTGAACTGAAAAAGAGCACTCGCTTGGAACCGAGTTGGCAGGTGTACGGAATAGCCGAATAGCAATATTTGCAAGTTCCGGAGTGAAGCTCTGCTGTGCATACCAGAAAGTAAGTAGATCCTCAAATTTCCAGCTTGTATTCGAGGCTAAAAAGGGATCAAATCTCTCCCGATAGGTGAAAAAGTCTCACTGTGCTCTGACAGCAATATCTCGTAAAGGGACAAACTGATTCATATAGTGAAAAACTATATTTTGCTGCTCGATAGTGCTTGGAAATTGAACATTGAGAGGGGTAAGAAAGTGGGTAACCCAGTGAAGTGACCAGACCTGACGCTTTATGCGCTGGTCTAAAAGATCAACCAATTGCCCGGTAGCAGGTTGAGGTACCTGCTGGCTTGTACCAACTAAGTGTCTTCTGATCTCTAGCTACCGGTTCACAATCTTACCAAGATGTGAATCCCCAGACTCCCAAAATAGCTGGTGGTTATAGATAGGTAAAATTAAATCTCATAGCTCTTCCACCTGATTCGAAAAAAGCCAGCTTCTCAAAGGATCAATAATAGTATTATTAATACTACTACCGGTGTTAAGAAGATAGAGTTTGAAGGCATCCTTATTCTGGTAGAGAGAATTGATTGCGCGGGCTTGCATATTCTATCGTGTTATAACCGAAAGAATTAAGGCACTGGTTTTACCATAAATAATCTTTTGTTTTTCACGCAAAATAGAGAGCAGTTTGTGTGAAGATTAAAAGGCCTTAATAATTAGAGTTATACATCACTGGATTTCCTTGTAGTATTCAATGCCGAGGATATCACCTGTCAGTAACTAGAGTCTATGGGAATCGCAAGGTACCACCAATGGTCGTGATTTTTGGAGTCTGTTATCCTCTTCGAGTAACTTCCATACACCTAACATGGTACTCCAGGTATCAGTCTCAAAGCTATTAATCCTTTCCTGATCACCATGTAGTAAGCTATTCAGCTTATTCATAACCCATTGTGTAATGTTTTGTGATGTAAAAGCCATTGATCTCGCATCCTCGGAACAATAGTGAAATGTTCCTCTATGGGTCTGAATAGAAATATTACTAATTCTATTCTTCACAATATTATCACTTTCATCAAAAATAATATTGACAAAGTAATTAGAGCATAGAATTTCATCCACCTCAGCTTTAGTCAGAGTATATGTATTGTCCAATAGAGTGGTTCTTAGAGATTCAATGCTTGGAGGTTTATAAGCTGGTGCGATAAACTAGAAACTGTCTAAAGGGTAGGATGATTGGGTGAGGACAAATCAAAGGTTGTTCATGTATATCACTAATGTGAACTTTTTATCAGCAGTGGTCTTATCTATCAGCCGTAGTTTTTGGATTGCTGTACCTAATACCATTTGCCAAGAAAGTATTCTGCTATCTGTAGTGCCATCTCTAGTATTTATCGCCTCTACCTTCTCCTGATACTGTGTACAGTTTGAAAGGTGATCGTACTGACGGGTTGTACTATGTGTAAAGCTTCTTCCACAGGCCCGGCACCTTACTATTTCGGTCTTTTCTCCTAATCTTGTTAGCATTTTTTTAATTCTAATTTCTTCTCCAGGTATATTACTGTTTTCATACATATCTTTTTACTATACTCAGGCTGT